TCCGATGTTAACGAAATCTCTCTTCTTTAAATCGAAATCTACAGAAATATACGAGGATGTTCTTAAAGTCTCTCAACGGTTTAGGATATATAAATTTTACAAGAGGCTTGAGAAAGAGAAATCTGAAAAATAAAAAATTCCGAGAATCAATAGCCCTGGTGTTTAAAAGACTTTAACGTATTCAAAGTCACGAAGACTCGAAAAATTCGAAAATAACAGGGAAACAATTCACAGGAATCCCAAAGACAACCCCGAGAAAAACAAAATGCTAGATAGAGAGAAAAATAGATAACTGTCATCGCGGAGAGAAAACGAGAGGTAGATAGGACGCGTAAACAGACAATCGTACAGTACAAGAAGAAGAGAGAGAGAAAGAGAGAGAGAGAGAGAGAGAGAGAGAATTAATATTAAGCGCTCTTAGATACAATCCTCTCAAGTGCACAACAATTTACAAAAAGATATAAAAAATAAGTGTGTATAAAATAAAATGAGATTTTAACTTAATGTAAGCTACATTACAGTGTAAGTTGAGTGTGAATATGCATGATATAAGAGAGAGAGAGAGAGAGAGAGAGAGAGAGAGAGAGAGAGAGAGAGAGACGGAGGACGCTGAGCGCGTAGAGGATAGAGAGAGGGCATGCACCGCACTCAGCACTCCGGAATTCTGTCGGAGTCGGAGTGCGGCGGCGCAAAGAGTATCTACCTGTCAGCGTGCATTCCACGATCCCACGATCCGCATGTGTTGTCGGCTTGGCGTGCACGTTTCCGTTTCGCCGAGCGTAACTCTCCGTTGTTCACCGACACATCACGCACTCGCACCACTCATACACTCATTTACGTTAGGGTGCAACACACACTTGCGGCACTCTCCAGCACTCTCCACTCGTCACAGTCACACACTCGACCCTTTGTCGCGCGTCGTCGCCCACGGCGAGCAACGTCAAAGCAATCTGAAGCAACCGGTGACGTGCCGTGGTTCGCGACGCGCGCGAATATGGCGCGCGCACACACTGATCACCGTCGATCCGCAACTTGGAAGTTGGATCGTACAAACTCGGAGCAAAACGCGAAACGAGAAACGTGGCTACGTGAGAATATTCCGAGAAGGATCTGATGAGGATCGCGCAGTCGAACGCGATTTCTTTCTCTCGCGAAGCGATCTCGCCACTTTACTTGTCCCGTATTTCGTTTTATATATCGCGTTGCCGCTTTTTGTTTTTGTTCCGCGACGCGAAATGACGGCGAACGTGCACGTACGCGCGTACAGTCACTCCAGACCGAACCAGAACGAGACACGACTACTCGGCTTTAAGCACCGCGGGGTAAATACTACTACAACGAAAACGCGCCGCTCCAGCCACGGCACAGCCGTGCCGGCCAATCCCCACCCGAGCCGCGCTATCACGTGATAGGCAAGCGGCCAATCGCGCGCCGCGGAGTCCCTCAATGGCGACGTACGTGAAGCCATCTGTCGATTCGATCGGATTCGAGTGAATTCAGCTGCTCGATTTCGATCGATCGGTCGGTTGTTCGATCGCGTTTGAAAATCAATCCTTCCTTTTAATTTCTCACGATTAATCACGATAAATAAACAAATGTATGGATACATGATTCTTTCAATATTCAAATATGATCTAGAAAATCCCAAAATATTTCAGTAAACACCAATAAATAGTAATATATAAAATCAATGTTATAATTTCACTCAACACCGTAACTGTTATACATATTACTCTCTAAAATTTAAAGTGAATCTTACTTTGAAGAGTAAAATTTCATTCTTAAAAAAAAAAAATTGAAAATTGAGCCACTTTTTTTTTCACGACTACTTCAATTTTCACTTCTACCATTTCAATGTTATTTAATTTTAAACTTGGTTCAACTAACTCTTTATTTTTTTATAATTCTAAGAAAAAAATAAAGAACAAGTTAAACTGAGATTAAAGTTAATCTATATTGACAGAAATAAAAATAATTCACTTTTTTGGAGTGAGAGTTCACTCCAATATACAATATACAAAGAATTTAAAAAAAAGAATACAACATTTATTATATTATATTAATATTATATTATATTAAATGTGAAATTGTAATATTGATATTATATTAGCTGGCGTTTATATTTTACGTTTTACTGAACGTTTTATTGGAATTTTTATTAACATTTGTATCACCTTCATACGCGATCTGCAGCCCGAGGTCGATTTCAAACAAATGCACACCACGCTTACGCGACTGGAATTGTTAACGAGCCGCTTTCATGTTGCTTCTAATGAGATTCAATGGCGCATTGGTATCCCACTGCCAGTTGTCCGAATGAATCATCCACTCGTTACATAATTATTTAGTTAACTCTTTAAATTGAACACGTTCCGGACTAATTAATTCTTAAAATAACATTTATTTTTGAAATAATCAATTTCTTGATGTTATTTACATTTGTGTCACGTTTTGAGGAGATGGTATATAGTACATTGATCGTTCGCGATGCCCCGCGGCGTCAACTTAAAACGTAGAGAGAACTTGATTCCGCGTGACCGTGAATTTTTTTGATATTCGGTGTCGGTGACCTGGCTCAGAAAAAAAAATCAATCCCGTTATGCATTCGTGCCATTCACTTGAAACGCCATGATCATTCGAGCCGAATTTTGAAACTGTTGAAGTTATCGATTATTGTACTCTCTTGATGTTTTCATTGTTTACCTCGTCTCATCTTAAGACGTCAAACCATCTTAATAAAGTTCAATATTCAAGATTTGTTTGAGTCAACATCTGCGTAGAATTAATTTCTATTGGAGATATATTATACAAGTTGTTTTCTAACATACAGTATTGAAAATCTATAGTTTATGCTATCATACGCACAGATCATAAAATTTCAGTATCCAGATCTAAATTATAAATTTACCAAGTATTAAAGAGTTTAAATAAAAAATGTGGACCATGGAATAATTCCCTTCATTATGGAAGGCAGGTTTCCAGGATGGAGTCGAAATCTAAAAAAGTGAAATATTTTTTTATATTATTAATCTTTACAAGAAAGCTACTAACAACACTGAAACAATGTCATATTTTGAAGCAAAAATACAATTTGAAATAATTCAAATAATAAAATAACAGATTTATTAAAAGAAAAGCTGCAAGATTTTCAAAATAACTTTAAAAATTAATTCATTTATTAATTAGAATAATTTTTTAAAATTCATTTTTATTTTAAATCACCCCGGCCTTTAAAAATCTATTATCTGTTGGTACAACAGAAGAAAATGTTTCACTATACATTTTTTTTTACTAAAAATCTTTACTTGGTGTAATTTAGATATATCATAATATTTTATGCTTAAAATAAAAAACTAATTCTACGTAGTTGACGTTAAAAAAACATATTAAATTTTATGTAACGCGATGTTTTATAAATAAAAACGAGAGACTTATGGAAATTCATAGAAATTTATTACAACGCGCATTGCACGTGATTGCTCTCATTTGCTGTAGAATATGTCCAAGCATTTGTGTTCTGCTCACATCCACTATCATACTTCTTATTTGATATCACTTTGTAAAAGAATTGGAAGTAAAGTACAATTGCTGGCTGTAATGCTTCCTTTACTTAGAAAGGAGATAGGGGAACTATTAAGATTAGAAATTGGAAGCTGTAGAATATGTTGTGAATGCTTTTTCTTCATAATAGATGCCGGATTTCTTAAGCAAGCAGAAAAATCAGTAAACTTGCACCAAAGATCTTTGTAGGAAGTATCGCTTGACGTTCGTTATATTGGACATCTTGAGAACCGACATTTCTCACCTCGGTCTCTGAAAAATTTTTATTTACAATCACATGAAACCAGCAATAAATTTAGCCAAAGCACAATTTCGATTTAATTGTTTTACAAGATTTTTATTTCCGAAAATACGAAATCTCAAGATATCTATCCTAAATAGAAAAGAAAAGAAAAAAAAATGTTGCTCTTCTCGTCTTGATGTGTCCTCACCGTATTCGTAATATTGCGACGGTTCCGTTGATTCTTCCTCGCACTTTTCGGTAGTCGATTTGATCCTCATATCTTCTTGTCTTTCACGTTCACCAGCCTCATCTCTGAGCGGCACGTAACCAGATCTCACAACACGATTCCTGGCGTTCGCGACCTAAAAAACGTGACAAGAGTTTCGTTCTTCAACACTAACCATAATCGTAGACCTCCTTGAGTTCCTCGTTCACCGTTTCTTCCTCATCCTGTTCCGCGGTCTCTTCGTTGGCGTCTTCGTCATCGAGCTCATCCTCCTCGTTCTGATTTTCTTCCTCTTCCTCTTCTTCTTCTTCTTCTTCTTCATTCTCATCTTGGTCGTTCTTCACTGTCGAACGATAAAGTCTGCCCTCATCGAGGTTATTTCGAGGCTGGTGATATCCTCGTGCGATGTTATAGTCATGGCTGCGATATACTTGCTTGGCCCTGCGCGGATGTTCGAGAAGACGGCGTTGCGGTGGCTGCATGAAACCCCCGTAAAAAAGGGGCTCTATATGTAATGCGCATCCGTGGATATCTTTCATAATTACGTCCGAAGCGGGCGATCTCGGAAAGTCCCAATAATCAAAACCGTCACCGGCAGTACGAATGCCCGATAGAATTAGAAGTACGGATAAAAGAGCGGATATAAACATAGCCTGAGTCTTATCATCATCGACCATTGCAACGCGAACATATACGCGATTAGATCAATTGCATGTAATCGAATACAATCGCTCGAAGTAATTTGGTCATAGACCTAACTTCGACACGAATAAAAATATATACTTGTATGAACCGTACAAATAATTAGGAATATTTTATTTCTTCTATAATAATTGTATCTTATAAAATATATTTTATAAATATAAAATATTATTTTATTTTTTGTAATTATATAGAAAAACTATTTAAATTCGATGACAGAATTTTCTTAGATATAATAAAAGTAATAACTTTTAAATCAACATAAATATGGAGATACACACTGCGCGGAATGTGCCTTCGACTCTAATATATATGTATTCATAGATATTTTTATCCATTGTTCTCAAATCTAAGCAAGATGATTCTCCAGATATGTTTTAGTCACAATGTCAGAGCGACACTGACTTAAATCTATATAATCCAGACTGGTGCAACCCACCACAGGACATCTGTGAATGCAAACATAAATGCTATAGTAGCATATTCCAATATTTACATAGTGTGAAAAATACATACCTAGTATTCTTGTTCTTTTGTAACATCGCGACAAGGCTTGCTTTATCGTATATGTGACCGCAGACTGCATTTCTCACAGGATCGGTCATTCTCATCTTCGAGATTGGATCGATCACATTTATTTCGCTGCCTGTTAACCGTAAATCAGCGTCTATGTCATCCAGTGCGTTAGATTCATTGACTAAAAAATGTATGTTAATCTCAGAAAGAAATACATAAGGATGAAAAAACCTCAAGTGATTAGCACTAAAATTTTATAAACAGTGTCAGCATCCTTATATTATTATTGTATAGGTATTATATATAGAACGATTAATTTTAATCTTAACAGGCAAATATTTCGTAAATATATAATGTAATTTAAAAAAAAAAATATTCCAAAAAAAAATTATGTGATAGAAAAGGATACATACAAATGATGTCCTCTTCTATACAACTTTTATTTAAAATGTTTTTTAACAAAGTTATATATTTTTTAAATATTTTTTGTTCATTAAGATTAAAATGAGTTATCTTGTATATGGTAAAAAAAGCTACACAATATCAATGTAATGATACCGACATTGCTGTTAAATACAAAATTCCAGTGCTAAGATTTTTCATTTCAAACTTTACCTTGATACAGGCCTTTAAACTGACGATCATATTCCAACAGTCTGTTGTCTTGTAACGGATTAACTTGAATTTCAGATATAGCCTTCTTATATTCCTGTTATAAACAATAGCAAGTAATTATAAATTTTGAAAATCAAAATATAACTGATAATTTTTTTTATTTGAAACAAGATCGTTACTATTGTGATATTTTTTACATCTTCTTCTGAGTCGAACTCGGACATACATTCTAGGTGCTCTTTAATCTCATTCGCAGACTTTATTCTCGCAGACTCCATACAATTGGCTATTAGGACTTCTCGTAACTGCTTCAATATATTTTGTTTCTCTTCTTCATTGTCTGAAAATATAAGGTAAAATTTACACAACATATTTTATTTTCTTGCGAGAGAGAACAAAAAAAAAATCACAATAAATAAAGCATGTTGTACCTCTAATTTTCTACATTTAAAATGAAACTCAAACACAAAAAAAATAAAGAAAATTCGGAGGAGCATTTGGAAAATTCTGTTTTTAACCTCAACGAAACCTCGATATAGTATTTCACATTCCTCGTCGTTCTTACAAAATAATCATCAAGTTTCTATCTTGAACAATACGCTAACATAAGAGATGAGCAAGGAAAACGCAAAAATGCGAAAAGAAGCACTTAAAAGATTCCGAACATATTTCTAACCTCACTGAACCCTCACCATAGTATTTCATGATATTCCCCGCGGTTCTCAAGAAACAATCATCAAGTTCCTCTATCATTTGCGTGTTCTGTGTCATTTTCGTGCAATTTATCTATTCTGCTGACGATATCGATGCTGATATTATCGAATTCTGTGTCAATTTCTCACATTCAATCTGATCTTTAAACAGACTATCGAACTGACGCCATTTAATAAACATTTTTAAATATATATTTTGAGATCAAAACAAACACTTTAATGTTTGAAAGAAAAAAATAAAAACTAAAAAATACAAAATATTTAGCCATAAAAAAATTCATATTTTTTTATTCGTTTTTTGTTGTATCCTCTTGTCGTATATAATGAGATTCTCGGACTTTATCTTACAGCCAATCAACAAGCTTGAAATTTGATGTACGATTGATATGACAAGAAATGAACAAATGTATATTAGCTTGAATATTTTGATTTCATGCGATAAATTTCGTATGACTGTATGAGACAAAAAATATGAATTTTTAGAGTCATTCTCGTCAGACTTGTTCGAGTCCCGAACAAGTTTTCCCGTTATGGAAATTTACTCAGAGTTGCCGGTCTATAATAATATTTTATTTATGCCCGTCGAAAAGGCGCGCGAAAAAAGCAGGAAGGGGAGATTGGATTACTCCATCCGTCAATACGAAGGTGGACTACTGAATGTCTGGAAAAGTGAAAGTAGTTGGCCTTTTGTCTCTCGTTGTTATATTTCGAATTGAAACTGTATCAAATCGAACATGTCCGTCATGAGAAACGTTACGATTCTCTTTGTGCTCTCGGTAAGTAAAATCTATTATTTAATCGTTCCAAAAAAAGATTAAAACAAAGGACAAGAACGAGATTTAAACAGTAGTCGTGTAAATCAAATAAGAAATTGATCTAGATCTACAATATTTTACAAAATGATAATAACGAACAGATTTTGTTTGATATTTCTAATCTCTTTAAAATCTCTCACCATCATGACTTCTACACAGTATTTTTATTGCGGCGACATTAATTTTGCATCAAGTTTAATCTTCAGGGAAAAATTCGGCGAAAATAGCGCGGCGGAAAAATGACGGAGATTAATGAAACATTCCTTATATCTGCTCCATCGATATGAAATTGAATTTTTTCTAAAAATTGCGCCATAAACTTATTTCTCTTCTATTTTCGAATACGATCAACAGAATGCTACAACAAAAAATATTTGAAGCATTCTTTGCTTCATCATAAAATCTTTCTTCTTATTGTCCAATCAAATGCTTGAAAGCATTTGTAGTGACTCGATCGCACTCTATCCCTCCCTACTTTTCCCAAAGTCGGACTTTCCAGCACGACTTTCGGACGACTTAAATTATAGCGTAGTACAAGTCGATACATTCGCTAGCATTTTGTTGCATTCTGTTTCACATTCGTTTAGAGCGTCATTTTATCTCGCCATCCAACGCGAAGAGCCAACGAAATCGAGTACGTACTTCTAACCCTCAATGATTTAAATTCGTAAGCGAACAACTGCAATTACTTTTCATCGCTTTCCATTTACATACGAATGACACTGAAAAGTCTAAAATTATAAAGTTAATACAATATAATGCTCGGACATTTACATCACTATTTGCTTACTGAGAATTATCTCTCAATTTTTATGTAAATGGAAATAAGTAACTATAACATATGTTGTTCGATATCGCGAACTTTCTCTTGAATTAATCCAAGATATCTTAATTAAGGTACCTTTTCATGCATCGCTCGTCGTGTCACTCATTTTTAACGATGACAGTCATTAAAAACACGTGATTGAATGTTAGAATTTTTATTAGTGACAATTCGCTCACGTGATATTTCTGTCGTTTGAAAATGAACACTGAGCGATGCGAAAGTTACCGTTTAATTGGAATCGAAGATATTATTTATCAATTCAATCTATGATTTGTTGAATTCATAATCAGTTTAAAATAACGACGCCAGAATCAAGTTTCCCGCCATAATGCATTACGTAAGTTTTTATCGCAATGATAATATACTTTCGACAATTATGACGACAATCCAGATCATTCTATATCTCCGTCTAATTCTTTTTTCTAAGAAGTACAGTCTTGTGCTTCGAATTGTATCACTCTTGTTATCACTCATAATTTAAGAATAATTAAGAATAATTATCGTGTGCAATTAAGATAATTATAGAACGCAATTTATTGTATTCATTAAGATTTTTCTTACATGCCTATTTAGATGCTAACGAGAGCCTGTTTTCTGGCGACAAGTAAGACTGTTTCAATCAATACAGTAAGAAACATCGCTGGAATGTCAAAGTTTGACTTACCAAATCGTTGGAAGGGCAATGAAAAATCCGTCTGGTAGTATAATATTTATTTTACAGATATATTTTATATATTTTTATGTAGAATGATAAAAACTCATTATTATATTGGTTATGTTTTGTTTGGTTAGGGTTGAATATATCCAACTTAGTCTGCAATACAAGCCACTGAATTTGGGCCAAGGTTTTCCTGATTATCATGCGCCGAAGAATGTGACAAATGCCCTGATTGCTGTCGCTAAAAGTGACAATCCACTTATGCAACAATATACGAGAGGATTTGTAAGTAATACATATTTTATTCATTAACTTTTGAATTATTTTGTATCTTATTATATATAATTTCTTTTTATCTTTCATTAATTTGATAACTTCATTTTTATGAAACATTAACATGGAGATAGACTGCAATTGTAATTGTTATCAATAACTATCGATAATATTATCTATGTATGATAAAATAAATTTTACATCATTAATGTAAATGTAAATATTGCAGGGTCATCCAAGGCTAGTGAATGCTATTGCAAAATTTTACTCTAAATTTATCAGTCATGATTTGGATCCAAACAAGGAAGTATTGATTACTGCTGGTGCTTACGAAGCATTATATTCTAGTCTACAAGGTCATACTAATCCTGGAGATGAATGGATTATCATTGAACCTTTTTTTGATTGTTATGTACCTATGGTACAGTCTGCCGGAGGAATTCCCAGATACATAGCATTAAAACCAGTAAGAAGTTTAGATAATAAACGCAAGGAAGATTTTTCTTTATTATATTAAATATATAATGTTATGTACTTGTAGAAATGTACATCAGGCACAGTTACCTCTAGCGATTGGGTATTTGATAGGAAAGAAATGGAATGTCTTTTCAATAAGAAAACTAAAGGTATCATCATCAACAATCCACACAATCCTACAGGAAAAGTATTTACGCTGGATGAATTGCAATTTATTGCCGATCTCGCAAAAAAATGGAATATACTTGTTATTTCTGACGAGGTTTATGAGCATATGGTTTACGAACCGAAGAAGCATATAAGAATTGGTAAGGATTGCATTATAAAAATAGTCATATGATATAGTAATCTTAGAATGGTATTTAAAAAATTATTCTTTTAATCAGCGACATTGCCCGATATGTACAAACGCACAATCACGATTGGATCAGCAGGGAAAACGTTCAGCGTTACAGGTTGGAAAATAGGTTGGGCCTATGGACCAGCGAATTTGTTGTATAATCTGCAAGTGGTACATCAGAACTCCGTGTACGTTTGTAATACACCAATGCAGGTAATTAATTAAATACAATTTTTTTTAATTCTATAATTTTTACTCTAATAAATTAATGAATTACTTTTATTTTAATTGTAGGAAGCAATAGCTATCGGATTTGAATTGGAAATGGAACGCTTAGGGCAACCGGATTGTTACTTCCGCAGTCTGGCAATGGAATTATTACCAAAGCGCGATTATATGGCGAAATTTCTCCGAGAAGTTGGTATGATACCGACGATACCCGACGGTGGATATTTTATGCTTGCTAATTGGTCTGCATTGGAAAACAAAACGAAATTGCATGAGGAAAAAGACGCGAATAAAGATTATAGGTTCACTAAGTGGATGACGAAGAATGTCGGTCTTCAAGGTATTCCTCCTACGGCATTTTATGGTCCTGAACATAAAACTTTAGCAGAGTACTATGTACGATATTGTTTTATAAAGGTAAGTGCGTGTGCTGTCGTAAAAGTAAATACAATAACTTTGATTAAGACAACAAATGACTTTGGTGTTTGTTAAACATCGATTATTACATTTTAACAGAAAGACGAAAATTTGAAAGCAGCCGCCAAAATCTTGAAGAAATGGGTATCCCAATAATTGAGACTAAGTACATATATAAATATGTGCTTGTGTATAATATGTATACTCAATGACTATTAAGTGCTTCGTGTACTGATTAATTTTTCGAGTATCTTTCATGCTATTCGAGCACATTGTGTGCACGGAAAGTGTAATTGATATAATTAGAGAAAATTTTTACAATTTGACTACGATTTTTATGTGTATTTAGCATCTTAAATTAAACAATGTTTCTCAATATTTTATATTTGTGATATTCAATTTACAAGCATATATAAATCTAAACATTGTAAATCTTTATACATTTTGATGCAGTATAAGATTCAATTAAGTGATCTTGAAGTATCTATCAATTACTGTCATAATTGATAACGATCGACCCAAATAAGCATTGTTGGAAAGTTAAATTATAGGTCGAAATCTCTTCGAAGTCATTTCTTGACATCTTTTGAATCAGCTCCGAACGTTTTACCGCATCTACAAAGTAAAGACATTGTTGAAAAAAAATATATATTGTTTTCTTGTACTTAGATCCTTGGATTCTTGGATCCCTGAGTCATTCTCCTTCATTGGACTCTCATTATTAGATTCCAACTCTTCATCTTTAGATTCTGAGTTTTTGAATCCTTAGATCTCCGGGTTGACTTATCCTCTCCTTTAATCCTCATGCATTTCACTCATAAATTTATGTCATATAACCTAATTAATTAGTTGTGCACTCAATTAATTAATTAATTAATTAAATTTACCTGAACATTGCTCCAGGAATATATCCAAAATAATTCGGTATCATTCCGATGTTTTTATGGTAGATTTCAGTGGATTTTACAAGTAACGGAGGTTCCGGATAAATCGTCATTATTTTATATTTTATACTTTGTATATCTTTTTGACACTTTGCAAAACTGTATAATGCATCGTCATATGATGGAATAATCGATGTTTTGAAATAGCCGTGAGGAATATGAGTCGCGTATCCTTTGCAAAGTATATTTGACATGATAGATATATTTTTCTTTCAAAAATGTCACATTACAAAATTAAAAATATTTCTATTTTATAAAAATATATCAAACTTTATGAATTTTTTAAAGTATTTATGAGATTCATGAATTGTTTTAAATAAATGTAATATAAACTTATTAAACTATTGAAATTATTATTGACAATGAGACAAATATATACGACCTTACTGTTACTCACTTACTTTTCGCGTTTTTGCGGATAAAGGAACACCATTTGGGATTTTGTTTATCTGAAAATTTCATTTTATTTGATTGCTAATAATCGTATGAAAACTAAATTTTGAAGGAACGAAAATAAATTATTTAATGACAGAAGGCAAATTTTTAATTGATTTACAGAAACAATTGAAATGCTCTTCCTTAATATTAGTATTCCTATAATTATTATAGGAACACTAATTAATATTGGATATACAATTATTTTAATTGCCGTTTTGTAATAAATTTGATTTAACAAATTATAAAAAATTTATTTTAAGGATGATAATAATTTTATATTTTATTTGTTTCGTAAATTTTATTCGATAATTTAATTCTATTTCTTTTCAATATTTAATTTAATTTTATAATTATTTATACAAATAGTACATAACTTAATAATTTTATATATAAAATGAAGACATATCATTTTTTGCATTTATTTCTTGTCGGATGATAAATTATCATTCATCGTTGTTATATATTCAGGTCGCACAGTAAGCAAAGGTAATTTATATGTGGTTTTAACTAGCTGTAATAATAATTGAATTATTAGAAATTAAAGAGATATCTCTTCTATCATTAACTGTCAAATTTTGACGATTCTTTAACTCTTTTTCTCACCAAACGTTCTTCCAAATTCCGGGGCTCGGCTCGACCACATTGCACATTGATCGTTCTCCTCAGCCGATCTAAAGCCGCCTTATGTTGCAATTGTTGTCGTTCGAAGTCTGCGAGACCTTCGGTCGCGTGCACCGCGTATCTTTGTCCCAGACTAATGTTCGATCCCGGTACAAAACCTACACAATGCTCAGTAATCGGTTAAATTTCAAGGAAAACTCGTTCCGCAGCGACGCAGACTCATGATTTTGAACATATATCGGAAGTTTGTACAGATAAGCATTACAAGGAACCGATAAGCACCCTTGTATCCTGGCAACATGGGATGAACGAAGAGAGGATCGGTTCTCTTGAAACGGGCATTGACCACATCAATGTCTCTCTTTGATGGTCGCTATACATGTTTGAAAATGGATAAAAAGTCATTTTTAAAATACGCGCCATAAAGAATTGAATTGAGATCTTAAAATTTTTTTAAATTTATACGTTTATTGTACTTCTTTATATTTATTTTCTGAATATTAAATGTTCTTAATTTATTTTTAATCTGGCTCATCTAGTCCTATTTATTATATTGATTTATTCTCTGATTGAGCTGATCTATATTATTATTTTATATTTTTATATGTTTATCTTATATATATTTTCTCTTATATTATCTTATCTTTTATTTATTATGTTATCACCAAGTAAAGCACTGCATATCATTCACCTCGCAATTGGTAACTGCACGATCAGCTAGGATGAGTGTTTTCGCATGATTAATTGTAGGATCGAGCAATAGTTTATGCGTAGTTTTTGCATACGTTTCACCGTAATTGAATTGGTACTGCGGACAATAACCGGAATATCTGAAAAGAATAACCGGACAATTTTCTTGAAATTTCCAAAGTACATTCTACATTCGGCACCGTTTTTAATATAATAAATTATTGGATTATTAAACAAATCATTTATTAATTTTTAATTTAAAAATAGGACTGATTGGTTGTAAGACTTAATTTTCTACCCTGGAATAAAATGAGGTTCTGCCGTTATTAAAAGATCCATTTCAGCAGTTATGTTATGAAAATTAAAATTTCTTCAAAAAAATCTGTCGAAAAAAAGCAAATTACAATTTTTTATTTTGTATAAGAAACATTTTCTTAACCTGAATAATTTTTAAATACATGCTGCCAAACAATTGAAGTTCTAGTGACTTCACTCGTTACGAGCTTTTTGCAGCGGTTTTCGTTGAATAAAAGAATTAATGCGGGTTGAGAGATAATCGACCGGTAAAAGGGGAGATAGGAATAACGAGAAGAGAGGAAAGAGAAAGAGAGAATATTTGTGATAGAGTAGGGAGGACACGCCGTGCGTATACTTAAACAGGGGAAGGTGCGTGATTATAGTTTCGCTTTCCAGTTTTCACGGGACCACTGTGACGGTAAGGTGTATCAATGAATGTTTCTGACATAAATCTTTAATTGCTTAGCATCCGATATTTGTGTGTGTAATTGAAAAAATGTATATATATATATATATATATATATATATATGTATATATATAAAAATTAAAATGAAAGAAAAAGTTGATAAGATGTTGTTTATGATAAGATAAAAAAACATAGTGCGAGAATAAACAAAATTCATTTTTGGATGACAAATGTTAGCAGCGGAAGTGATTTATGATTCAAGATAACTGATACAATATGAAGAAAAAAAAATTATTTTAATTATGAAAAAACTCGAAAGAGATTAGTGATATTATGTGGAATAATTTTATGAATTTGTTGTGTTGAAGTGTTATGTTGAAAATTGTATTTTTGTTTATGTTTAAAATGATGATGGAAACGAGAAACTCGCTGATTACGTGATTGAACAGGTTAATAAATTATTTAGAAAAGGAGAGAAATAGAGACCAGAATTATGTGGTTCCGTCCAGAGATGAGTTCCATCTTTTACGTCGAATCCTGTGAGACTATAAAAGTGACTAAAGACGAGGTAAACGACTTATTTATGCTTAAGCTAATGATATTTTAATGAGACTGATAGCAACTAATTATATTTCTTTGATAATACACACACAGAAAAATATTACTAATTTTGTTACTAAAAAATGATTACTGAATTTCCTTTTAAATGACGGTTATCTTCAATAAAGAATATCTTTTCGATAATAAATTTAAAATATATACAAATTTTAAAAAAACTTATTATTAAATATTCAAAACAAGATTGCTTATTCTTAAAAAATATAAAATTTATTGAAAAAATGACTTTATATATAAACTTTATATAACAAGCAGCTCGAACTTGTTTTAATTTAATAATCTTGATTAAAGTTCTAGGATTTTCAGAATATATTTTGGATAAATTTGATGCTTGTGATGATAAATTTGCGGATATACGAACTCTTGAAATACTTGAAACAATTAATTATTAATGTAATACGTATTTTTCTATATGTATTAATATTAATATAATGATAGATTAATAACTTTGTACGTGTTTTGTTAACGAGCGAAAATATTAGGAAGAGAAAACAAGAGAAATAATCAGGTAGAAGGAAAAATGAGTGACAAATTAAGATTTGCGGAAAAGTGGAAATTCCACCTACACTGAGGAAGCGATAATAATAGTGCGTAACAGGAAAAGTGAAACTTATGGAGGTAACACTTAACGCCTGGCCACGTTTATGAGTTCTCCGGATATTTCGACAGCGAGTGAGAGTGGAAAAAGTCGTAAAATTACCCGCATTACAATTATTCAATTCTATACCTCGCTGAAATTTTAATCTATCTGTTTACGTAATGCAAAATATAGAATTGCTTGCTAAGGAAAGAATTAAATAACATTCCATGAATTAAATAATGTGCCTAGCAGCAATTTATTGGCGAGACTTTTGATTGAACGTTGGGAATATATTTGGCCAATATTATGCCAATATAAATTTTGCTACTAGAGTCCTCTGATTATTCTATAATATCCATATTTCGATTGATATAATTTTTACAAGAAAATGTCATAAAATTAAATATTCCTAATGCTGACTCATTGAGCATTAATTACATCGTTTACTTCTGAAGGGAGGGTTTTGACCTGGCCAGATGCATACCAGGTGAACGAAGTGCAATTGCATGTGTGCGACAAAAAAATACAAATTTTCTCTGTTTTGCTTGGCATTTGTTTCGCGTCCCCTCAACCGGAAGCAATGTTATCACGCATTACTCGCTGCCAACCCGCGGTGTGGGTGTAGGACATATAGTGTCAGATATACACAATAAAAACGTGTTATTGTACGTTATATTGTACGCATATTATAAACAGAGATTTAATTTTAACGTTTTTAAAAAGTTATGACGTACGTCACTTTAAATCGAAATCTAATTTACAAAAATGTTAGGTTTCTACGAAATCGATATTAGTTCCCAAGATTAATATTTTATGTTAATTGAAGTTGAAAAATATAAACGTTAATTGACTACCTGAACGTCTCTTCTCGTCGTGTTACATCGACGCTGGCAATAAATTAGTAGTCGGATATCAATGCGTAGATTGTTAATCTCAATGAATCAAAAGGTTAATTCATTCATCCTTCACAGACTCTCTTAATTAGAGCTCACCGTGAGTAAATCTATAAATATCAGGGCTGAATTAATTTATAAACTCTCGATGTATGCTCGATATAACTCTTTGTTTTGCTGTTGGTTTGCATCAGTTTTTCATATTTAAAATATTTAAACGTTTAAATATTCTCAGAGAATTGGAAGATGATATTTAAGAAGCAAATTAGGTTTTTCTATTAAATTTTAGAGATTAATAAGTTATATTTGAATGAATAATTGTTTTATCATCGAAAAAACGCGGAACGGAAACTACGAACGGAAGCGGCTATAAGGTTGCAATGCGCACAAAAACTTTGTCGACACGCGAACGTTTCTCTGAATCTCAATCATTTTCTCAGGGCTTTATAGGTAACAACTTGATTCTCTGGCTGTGTTCTTCGAATAAAAAAACACATTAAATTGGCGTTCACCTACTTTCTGTATACTCTGAATTTAACATAATTGATTTCAGGAAAAGGACCAGAAAAATTCACAGTTAAATCAAATTGTTAATTTAAAACTTAATTAAATCTTACTTATCGATGAAAATCCGTAACGCATTTTTGTAAAAAATTTACAAGAAATTACTCTATCGTATATTTTTTTTAATAAATGATACAAAAATGATTTCTTCGAGGAAAATTGAGCAAGAAAATTCCTGAAGATACTTAACGATATCCAAAAAGATTTCAACGTGACGCAGCATGGCACGCGCGTGAAACACATGAGTCACTCGCGTCCTGCAGCGTGTGTCATAAAAAAAGAAAGGAGAAAGGAACATGCGGCTCTCCTAATTTCGTCACTTTAATTCCGTTTCTTGAATACCAATGGCCCTCGACATTTGCGTCTGATTACATCCGAGTATCGATGCTTCGCTTTGGATATCTAAAGTCGCGCACGTTGCATTATGTTAGTACAAACAATGAAGCGACAGCGAATATGTGATGCGAGTCACGCCGATCACGCGGATGCATCGGACGCGTGCGTAACGAACAAAAGAGTTAGGAGACGTGGATACAAGGCGTTATGTGCCACCGGAGGATACGAAGAAACGACGACGTCGTCGTCGTCGTCGTCGTCGTCGTCGTTGAAGAACACGCGCGTACATAATTTACTGGCGACAACGATCATCTGCATAATTTACGGATCGTCGAATCGACCCTTTCGTCTCTACGAATGACGAAGAAGCAGTAGACTTTCAGTTTGTCCTTCATATTTAGTGAATTGGAACATCGATTTATCCGATGACATAATCCGTCGACATAATGGCAAATAATCCAAGCAATTAATTGGATTAATAAAAGAATCACGGTGATCATTTAATATAGGAAAAAAAATTTACTATATTTCCAATAAATAAGCATTTGAAAAAATGAGTTAAAGCAAAATAATAGTTTTTGCATCAAATAAATGTATACATTTGTATACAAATGTAAATGTTTACATTTAGTAAATATTTACTTAGAATTATTCAAACAATTTTTTTTTTAATTGGGCACTTTTTAAATGTATACAAGAAAAATGGATTTTATTGACATAATACTTATAATAAATACATCAAAATATTATAGAAATGAATATATTTAATTTAATTTTCCTTTATATACAGCACGAGGATTTTTAAAGTTTAAAACTTTTTACTTAAACTTCTCGATCAGAACTTGAAGTCTATGTCTCTTTAATAGAAATTTAACGCGATTTGTATTCGCAATTTTTTTTAACATTCATATATTATAATCTCGATAATGAAACTATCGCGGATTAAAACAGCGAGTGTCCCATGATTGATGCCACGGAAATCAATCTGTTTCCAAGGTGGAATTCTTTCTGGTGACTTTCTCACACTCGCCAGTTCCAATGTGACCGCATTCCGCGGGGAATCCGCTTATATCAGACGCAATACTTCGACGTTATCCATTGAAACGAAAATGACGCGAAAATAACGAGAGATTTCGCGAGCGATGCGGCGACCGTGTGATCCGATCTTCTCAGGTCACCAGGATCTTAAATTCCTCGAGGTGACGCGTGGTTTCTCCAGGAACAATGATGATTAAGGGCCGGGAGATTAGACTAGAGGAATTCACGTCGGGATGTGGTTAACGATTACCAGAGGCCCTTGCACTCCTCAGCTCAACGCGTCATAAAGAATGAGCGATATTAACGTTTATATATACATGCAGGACGCGAGGCCGCTTCCTTCTGCATCATGACTCACGCGCGCGTCTGCTGATCTCCTCTGGCAGACTTTATGGTGCTGGAAGCACCGTAATCCATAAACCTGCACCAGTAGAATCGGTGAACACGACGGCTCACGTCGTTAAAGCCGCGAGGGCTCGTAAGGCGCTGAAAACGGCCTCAGGAACGTTGATGAAATATAGGAATTAAATTTTTTTACCTTAGATTCTTCTACGTAACAAAGTGTGTCTCTTGAAATCAACAGAAGAATGAGACGCGAAGAAATTGAAAAAAAGAGCTTGGTTTTTTTAATCAATCTCGAACATTTTTTTTAGATTTTCTATCAGGAATAACTGTTTCTATCAGGAATATCAGAGATTTAATAATAAAATATTATTATCGTTAGGTATCTAATTGTAATGTAGGCCATACTGATACCGAAGATCAAGAAATCCTAGATTCAAGAATTTTAGTATTAAGCTGCAGTCCGTGATTCATGTTCACAATGCTCTCATGAACATCATTTGTATTTATTTAATATTTAACGACAAGGAAAATAATTTTTAAGCATCGGAATAGGACCACGGTCTTAATAGTAGAGCTAAATATATTTATATTTTCATTCTTATTCTCATTCCGCTTGATTACATTGTTACTATCGAATTTACCGACGATTTCTTCAAAGATCTTTCTCAAAGATTTCTTTCAAAGAGGGCAAGAAAAAAAGGTGGATTAAGTTGCCGAGGTTGTCAAAGTAATTCCAGAGGCAAGGAAAGGTCAGATAGGGTTGCTTGGTAGAGAGGAAGAGAAAGGACACGAGGAAGAAGGGGGACAAAGGCCGGAGAAGGGATACTCGCGACAGCCACAAACTCAGTGTAGTTCTACTCTTCGTCAGGTGTGTCTCGTGGATCCACCATAGAGATATAATAAATCTATCGAATAGAAGTGTTCGGAAATTTTCACGCGGTCGTGTTTATTATAGGAAATAAAAAAAGGAAATCCTTGAATTTAGTCTGGAATAAATGCGGATCGACGTTTTCTGTCGGGAATGTATGTAATTGATATCGACACGTGATTATATACAATCGTGATCGTATGATCGTGTCGACGATCCTTTCGAGCGTGACGGGTTTCCATCGGCGACATTCGCATGACGGACGGCATGTCGATCTGAAGGTGAGTCGGAGTCGAAGAAATCCTCCTCAATTACATGCCTTCCGTTTACTTAGACTTGAAAATGCTGTATCGAAAAAGAAAGAATTAACTGATGATATTATCGATGATTGAGTGTCTGTCGCGAATATACGTTTTGGTAAAGTAGTTGAACTGTCCTGGAATCAGTTGATAGATTTGGCACACAAACATGAATTATTTAAGTTGCACACGAATTAAGTGAACAAATTATTTCTTTCATTTTTATTAGATTCTTCATTTATAGATGATTTTATCTTATCTTTTTTCAAAAATTAATTATTATAACAATTACTTTAAAAAATATTAATGTAACGAAGTTACATTTTTGAAGTTTTAAATTGTAAGTAAAAAAAAGTATTATATTATATTAAATCTTCCTCTATCAATCATTGTAAGAAGGTTCACTTGTATTTTATATTTCAAACAAGATGTTTAGATATAGTTGAGAGTTAACTTCTTCTTAAAGAAGATTTTTAGTATTGAAAAAACGTTTTTCTTCTGGAAAAGCAAATCCCGTCACAGAAGTGACTAATCTCGAAGTTCAAGGAGTCAATGATGCGCGTTCGGAACCGGTCAACGACAGGTAGTCGTAGACGTAGTAGAGACGTACTCGAGACGTTTCTAAAAGTTTGCTTCTGAGAACTCTTTAATTTAACTCATTATTTTTTTTTCCGCTTGTCGACCGATAAAGACGTGCCGAACGAATACATTAATAGCTAATGATTATGGCTAATGTCCGACCGATTAATTTTGCTCATCTGAAGTAGTCCGGATGTTTCGCTTCTGTTTTAATAGTAGTATCATCGACCGGATAATTGCGCTCGTTTAGCATTAATTTCGCTCATGATTAATTCCACTGGCGTCTCGTAATTCGTGCGTCGCGCTTTTATTGCGACGAAAGCAAACCGCCTCGCGGAATAATTGCGAGGGGATTTTACAGCGTTAGTCTCGCGTTATCTTTCTTTCATGAGCATATAAATGCGCTTTATTATAATATTATATAAAGCGCCCACGTTTCTCAAGACGCATAACTGATGCGAGACCTTCTGTTCGTGTAGCATGCCAAAGGCGACCTTAACGTTTAATTAAAAATAGCCGACAGACTGAGAGGCTTCGATATAAAGGCGACGTTAAATAAGGGTAGTACGGCATTTAAAACCTACGGAATAACTATCATGGATCGCGAACGTGGTTTTCGATCTAATGAACAGGTAATAGCTTTCGCGTAACTAATGAAGCTACGTTAAGTCGATCGCGTTTTTTTTTCTTTCTCTCTATAGTCTCTTTTACCTATCTATCTATCTACCTTATGTCGCACGTTTCGTTTCTAATTGATTCCCCAACATTCATCGTGTTGTAATTGCACGATTCGTTATGGCTGTTACGCAATCCTATTTCGTCCCAGCGTAAGTCCAGTATGGTGTATGTATGTATGTATGTGTATGTATGTGCGAATCGATGAATCGAAACTACATCGTGATCATGTAATCACTTGGCATCCGTACTCAAAAAAGAAGTATTTATTTTAAGATACTAAAATTCATTTTTGTCTCCATTTTTAAAACATTAAAAATGTTTTAGTTTGAAACATCTCTAAGTATTTAAAAAATGGAGACAAGAATAAAACATTTCGTTTTAAAATTAAACACTCCTTTTTCAAATTGTTTGTCCAGATATATCAAGCATTTCCAAGGATTGTAGAGAAATTAAATGTTAATATAACGCGATATTTGTATAAAAAGCGGAAGAGGAAGAATCTGCTCTGATATTTCCAACATTGGAAAAGGAGAAAATTAAGCTTAATTTATAACGCGCATATGGAGTATTATTATGTAATTAGTTCGTATAATTATGCAATTATTTTTTCTTAATGTAATTTTATGTTAATGTGTCTATAATATTATTTTTATCGATAATATTATGTTAATATGATTTTTCATAATATGATTATTATTTCATAATATAATATTTCATAATATGATGATTTTTCGTAACATAATTTTTATAAAATTTCAGAATTCTCGAGCTAAACTTTCAGTTCGACTTTTAATTCTTTATTGCCAATGAAAGTATTATACGTCCTCGATTCATGTATGAATGAGCGTAAATCGATTCTCATGTTGTCGACTTCGTCAACATGTAATAGAAAACAGAGTAAAGACACGCTCGCGGTCTAACCGTTAGTCATTGTTATGCGACATGACGTAGAGTATGGGTGCGCGCTCGTTTTAGTCTCGTTAGGAACAATTAAAAGTGGCTCAAGACTTAATTGGCGCGACTGCCAAAGGCAGTCCGTTTAATCGACGTTTATTAAAAAAATACTCGCGCGTGCAGCTTAACGAACGAGCGTTTCATTCTCGTGGGAGAAAATACCGTGAAAATGCACCACCGAAGAGACCCAAAGAGAAATAACATTCTGAGCTGCGTGCAGCGAAAATGACAAATAAAGGACGCATGAATTTGCATATCGCCACGATAAAATCACAGATATCGCGATAGGACTCTACGAAAACAAATGACACAAGTACGTTCAGCATAGATTTGAACTCCATTTATAAGGAGTTCAGAGTGCAAGTGAAGTAAGTCCATTAGGTTCGCTTCGAATGCGGCGTTTCTGTATCCAAAGCCGAGCTTATAAATTACAGGCTTGCCGGAGCTGTGAATCTTTCATTTATATCGCGCATGCTTTTCTCTCGCCTTTTTCTTCTTTTTTTTTTTTTTTAACGTATTCTTAAAATGACAGACTTTTGTATCCTTTCATGCGGTGTCCCACAATAAAAGATTCTTTAAGCTCGAACTTTCTCGTCGGAATTCTCGTCGTTTCCGCCGTTCTCAGCGTTTTCGAAAAAATCCCACGATGCTTATCCTACAAGGCGTTAACGGGCCTTTACCGTTTCTTTACGCCGCGCCGAGTTTTTCGGTAATGAGGACATGTTATGCAAATCGACGAGATATTGTAACTGTCTCGTAAACGGTACGCAAACACACGTCGTCCTTCACTCTCGGCTTACATTGCTTCGCGGAGAAACGAGTTCTATCACGTATATACACCGTCATATAATTCCTCTGTTAATTTACTATTTCCTTTGTGGCTCGCGGAATACATTAAGAAGCTATGCGCTACTTTATTATCTTATATTTGTCGAATGAATATTCTAGTAAAATCAGAGCATCTCTCTCTCTCTCTCTCTCCCTCTCTCTCTCCCCCTATTTCTCGAGAAAATTTGCAACACCTATCGGGAGCGATAAAGAAGCAACTAAATTGGAAAGCCCTATCTTATCTCGAGATCGAGACCGACTCTAATCTTTATGCTCCTCCTCCCCCCCCCCCTCCTTACTTCTTCACCGGATAATCCCCGAAGTATTTATAGTATTCCCGCGTTCATTTCACGGCTGGTTATTAACCGGATAAAATAGCCAGTACGATGGTACCGATTAACGAGTCACGTTTCCCCGGAGAACATGCCCCCATCTTCGGGAGAACTCCCGATAAATCAGGACCTCTCGGCTTCGTTCTGCGCGTTCTGCCGCGAGAATAACTTATCTCGCTCACAATGCCCTGCCCGCGTAATTCCTGAATATATCCTTTCGAACACGAAGCAACAAATTAAAGTTCCTCGACAGAAATGCGCTGTCCTAGGCTCCGATCGGTCGCAGATGATCTGCGATAAATCATTCGTTATTATCCTAGTGATCCTAGTTATCCTTTAAAGCAGTGCTATCGTGATTCACATTTATAATAAAAAAGTCTTTTTATAATTAAATTATAAAAAATGTATACGTACAGATTCGAAAAAAAATTACATATATGTACTGAAAAAAAAAATTTTAATAAACATTTGTTTGAATAGTTCTAAGTAAATATTAGTTCTAAATATATAGATATATTTGATAAAAAATATCTAATTATTAATTTAATTTATCATTCTTTTTATTGAAAATTGAATATTATTGTTCAATTAATATTTTATTCACTTAATATTATTCAAAGAAATGTATCAACATTTAATAAAATTTTTTTCAGTATATATATATATATATATTTTTTTTTTAAAGACTTGTTTGAATTTTGACATATGCAGAGATTTCTCCGCAGTATATCAAGCAATGATATACATTGCTCTATGTTTGTCAATAAATATAAATATTATAAATAGCATCTAATGCCAAAAATTTCTGAATACCACGAGCTCATTAGTATTAATTAGTTACGATTTCCAATCTTTGATGATGGGCTTCTCTAATTTGTTCAAGATGCATCCATATATATAATATGGATGCACTGATTGTTAGATTGTTCCAATTCTCTTCTGCCAGATAATACGGATTGCCTCGTAGATCAATACCTCCAACAATACAAATATCTAGATATATATCAAGAGTTCACCTCACTAAATCCTAACGCATCTTCCATTTCTTCCTCTTCTTCGCTCGAGAAGGTTTCGCGATTACGTGCACTTTGTTTTTTATCTTTATGGAGCAACAGATACATCCAATTTGTAGTTAGGGAAAAAGATCAAGCTTTTTTTTAAATAATAAAAAAGTTTAATGATTTTTGAGCATCTGTATGATTACGTTGACGTAAAGATCGAGATCCTTATCTCTTAAGAAATCATTTCGAGGGAATGGTAATTAAGTGCAAATTTGCTACTATTATTCACAAATTCCTTAGAAATTCCCCAACCTGTTATAGTTACGCAAAATTAATTCAATTGGAGAAATTTAGAGATTATTCTCTTAATAAATCGAGGGGGAGGGGTAGACGAATGCCGCGCGAATTCCGCTCGAGATTCTACTTTCCGCGAGGAACATCTTTCGTATCTCCCTATTTTGTTATTACTGCGGGTATGAAAACGAGCATGAGCGCTTTGCGTTCATAAATAAGGCATAACTGAGAGCGCGAGCGCAGCGAACATGGGCGAGGAGTCTTTATACGTGCATATGTATTCGTATGCGTGATTTGTTGTTGCGAGAGGGTGGAA